GAAAACTATGTAGAGAATGTGTCATTGTTGAGTTTTTATGACAAGCTTCCTCACTGGAGGAACACTGCTAATGTCGTCTTTTTTTTTTTCTTTTTTAATTGGCTTCTTGCACAATTTTACAAATAAAATGAATGTTGGTGTGTGAGCTTTGACTTTTCGATCAGAAAAAAAGGCATGTGTGCTCTTTGTTTCTTGATGTTTGTACTTTCATTTTGCAAAAAGGATGTGTTTTTGGCACTTTGTTGTGTTTTAAAAGTGAACAGAATTCGATCAGGATTCCTTTTTTTTTTTTTTTCATTCTTTTTTTTTTTTTTTGTATGACGTCTCGTCAATGTCCATAGCGCTGGATAACCAACTCAGGCAGAAAGAAAAAAAAAACTTGTAGAGGCCCACTTAACAGTTTAGTTTCACCCCAATCAATTTACATAGTGGGCTGTTTCATATGGGTTATAAGATATGTAAATTTATTACATATAATTTGATATGATTAACAAATGTCATTATTGACAATTAACTATGAATTATTATTATGATATTATGTGTATTATGCTGGAGATGGCTTGGATTACTCTTCAGTGTACTGAACGTCTTTGTTCTGCCTCTGTGCAAGGCAACAAACACTTCAGCAGGGGACAGGCTGTACGGTTCATGACCTCTGACCCTGCCCACTGCCACGGAGGGGGGCGGAGCTTATCTGTCAGCTGTGGCTCAGTTGATTCCTCCCCCTGTTCTGAACACTCAGCCCTGAGGCTAGCAACCAGTCTGTCTAGATGTTTCTCTGCTAACCTGCGACACCAAGTACTGAACTGAAATTTTTTGGCCCACGAGACGGTAGCAGAGAACCGGACATCAGCACAGACCGGCCCGGACAGTCTGGCCTGCAGGGGGCCGCAGCAGTTCCCAGCCAACTTGTTTGTACTATATTGTACTCACCAAGTCCCTGTGTCTCACCACCCTTTTCCTCTATAGAAATGGAGAAACCCTGTTGGTGTATGTATTTGACATCTGTACAAATGCACCTCTTTGAAAAAGAAAATGAAACCTTGACATATCTGGAATAAATGGGCAACTTGTGTCTTTATTTGAAAAGCAACACCATAAGAACACCCTCACACAACACCACAGTTTGATACAGAAACCTATTTCTCTGGGCAGCTGTAATAATTGTCCTTCATTGGTTTGGCTTGGTGCTGAAATTGAGCAGAAAATAGCCTCCTCTAGTGGACACTAGGCTGCATGACATCCTTATTACTTGTCACAACCAAGTCACCAATTACTGTTGAATATCAGTGGCCGTATCCACAAAGCTTCCTAGTACAAAGAGTTGCTCCTAGTGACGAAATTCAAAGAAAATTCTCAGAATTGTGATGTTTTCTTAGAATTTCCCCTTAAAGAAAGTTATTCACAGAGCAGCCCTTAAAGGAGCTCCTAAGATGAAAACTGTTAGTAGAGAGGAGGATGTTTAAGAGGCTTAAGAGTTTCTTAATCAGAGGGGAAAATGGCAGAAAGATAAAGAGGTTGGAAAAATATTGTCCAAATACAGGATGTGAGTAAATGAAATGCTACAGATTAGATCATGCAGGGATAATATGTGTGGTTGATGTCATTAGGGATACGCACACATTTCCAACCTCACGCTATAACACCAGAAATAAAGTCATCAACACTGAGATATTTGGAAAACTGATAAAATGCAGCAGTTCAGAAGTGATAACTTGGTTCTGTCTCAACCTTTACACTAACAATGACAACACTTTCACAGTCAGCAGTTCATGTCATTTCCACTGGGTGTCCACACCTTGCAGGCTCACAGAAGAACGTGTTTGTGACAACCAATCACATCTGTTAAAAGCAAGCATCACACCAAGCAACGGGGTCAACCACACCTCCTCACTAAGATAAAAGTTTTTGTCTCTTCCTTGCTCAGAGTTGCTCTGAAAGCTTTCCTAAATCACTCCTAAGCTAGGACTCCTTACTAAAAATTTTCAGGCTAATTTAGGAGCTTTCTAAAAGGATTCTCAGACTGTGTGAATACGGCTCCTACATTGAACTAAAAACAATGTTCCTGCTCTGGTGGTCGTTGACAGTTTTGCTTTGCCATCCTCTCATGCATGCTGCACAAATAAAAGCAGAGCAAACAGATGATACATTATTCTGTGCCAAAGCTATCATCACTGTAAAGGACAGAGCAGTGAAATGATGACGATCCTGCAGACATTCCAAATAAAGAATCTTAAATCTCAGAAGAAAATGATTTTGGGGTTAAAGAATATATTACACAGCAGGATTTATATGTGGTGACAAAATAAATGGTTACTTGAGTTCAAGAAAACAGCACATTTGTGTTTTTTTAACCCCCAAAACAGAGAGATGTAGGATTTCTTCGCTCCATTTTGCAGGACATGAAAGAAACTATGCGGGTATGTACAGTAAAGTCCCTTTTCAAATAAAAAAAAAGCCATAAAATGAAGGATGACGCCATTATCGGGTGACGTCAGCATTATTGTAACTTGCCATAGTTAGAAAAAGTTGCATGAATTTTAATTAATCCCTGATTGAATGCACCACCCCACCAGCACCATTGAGTGGCGCAAATCAAACGCACCTGTACACCAGGTGCATGCTGGGTCTGGCTAAAATGCTCCTCCAGAAGTGATTTCTGCGTTCGCTGAGGAACTTTTACCTTCAGTGAGGACTGTCTGCTGTTTGTGACAATAACTCCTTCTCACACAGAGACTGACTGGGCTGCTTATGATTTGCACTGAGAGGCTGAACCTGGAGCAGACTGAGGAGGACGTTCAGACAGGTGAGTGCAACAACAAACTGCACAGATAAAAGCATAAGCAACCACTTTGTTGCCTGGTAACATGGCGTTTAGCGTTGTGTGTGTGCCATGTGTGCAGTGCATGCTGTCTTTTTCTATAATGTGTCATTGTGGCTGCTGTCGTTGGGGTGTTATACAGTTGTCTACTAGTGTCAGGCTGTTGAGTTTATCTGGCTTAATGAGGCTTTTTGCACTTGCCATGATGTCCACATACTTTTATTGGCTGACATTTTGTTTGTATGAGTCTCTTTTCTGTTTAATTTAAGCGAAGCTATACCGAGAAGGCACTTGGATGTCTATATTTGATAATCAGTTGTATGCACAGGCTGCAAAGTGCCATCTATAGAAAATTAATTTATAGTAGGTTTGGACTTAAAGACTCTGTGGCACTGACAGTTAATGCAATTTATTTTGTAGCCTTAAGGTGTTCATTAATTCAACAGTAGCATCATCTATCATCATATAACATTATATACATTCCATTTTTTAATAGCCTAAATAGTCTTCAAAGTCTAGTTCTCTTTTCAGCCCTGCACGGAAGATATTAAAACAACTGGTGGTTAGTAGGACAGAATAGTCCCATAAACAATGTGGGCCTACAAGCAAAAATAAACAAAATGCTACATATATATGATGAGTTTAGAGCTGGATTTTAACTTCAGTGTTATGTATTTGGGAAACGTGCCAACTTGATTAACAAAGCAGGACAGATATTTATTGCAGATGCTGCTAGCAGGTTCTAAAAGAGCAATAACCAGGGAATGGTTGAGTAAAGAGTCTCCAACAGCCTCTGAATGGACAGAAATAGTTAAGGAAATTCATGTTTAGGAACTGAGACATGCCACTAAAAAGTGTGAACAATTGTGGAAAAAATGTAAATCTTACTTGACTTTGAAGTGATCTATTTTGTTTGGTGAATTTTGTTTTGTCCCCCTTGGTGTTGGGACATGCGGGATGGATGTCCCTGGAGGGGCCCTGGATTTCCAGGGGTCAAAGTTGGGGGTCATGGGGACCTTTGTGGACCTTTTGAGGACCTGTTGCCAGTGGCACTGCAATATAGCCTTGCTTCTTCTTATTTTCTGTTTTGCTAAGTGTTAGGCAATTCACCTTTGCTTATGATGTCTGCCTGTTGGTTTTGTCTGTTTTTTTATTTCTTCTTGTAAAAGTTGATAAAAAATTAAGTTAAGAAAATGTATATAAAATTATATAAAATTATGTTTCAAATTCATGAAAAAACAGTATTCTCTGCTCTGAGACGCTGGGTGAGTGTCTGCTGAACGCTGCAGCCTCTTTTAATTGTAGCACTACAATGGATGCTCCATCTAGGAGTTTTATTGGACTTGTGCAGCCAAACTCCTAGATGGATGCTCCATCTAGGAGTTTTATTGGACTTGTGCAGCCATGCATGTGTGAGCCACCACAGCCAGAATCAAATTTGGAGCCAGAGGACGCTGATGTGCCTGACAATGAACCCTATTTTTTCAGTCTGCAACAGAATGTCCTGTTTGTTTTTTATTTATTTTTTCAAACAACAACTCACTGGCTCTAGCTCTTACATAGTGTAGGGGTGGAGCTTATGCTAATGGTTAATCACAATCCTAGAAAATCTAACAGAGGATAGTTGCATGTCCAGAGTTCGGGAGCCAATCGTGGCCTGCAGAGTGATTTTAAACGGCCCCCAGCTTGTCTTTCAAACTAAACTGTACGTGGCCCACCACACAATATTGGTTAATCCAGCAAGTTCACTTCATTTTTTCTCTACTTGCATTTTTTCTCTTCACCTCACAGTGCCAAGACGATCATACAGTTTGTCGACATGCACTAAGTGCTGTTATCCAGCACTAATGTGTTTTCATAAACAGAGAATAAACAAGCAAACTAATGGTTGCCTAGCAGCAGACATTTCCTGCTAGGTGGCAGAAACAGTTCTTTGTCTCATTTGTATGGGATTTTCTTTTATTTTATTACCCATATCATTTGAGAAACAGCCCCAGGTTTTTTCCATACTATCTAATCTGGGCCCCATTCAAACACAATTGGACACCACAGTCTTAGACAGATGGATTTTTTTTTCTGTGTTGTCCTGAAATCCTGACATTAAAAAAAAAAAAAAAAAGTTTTCATTGAAACCTCTAAACAATTATATAGTGTCCAGAAAAAAAAAACACACTGATCATTCTCTGATCATTTTAGTTTATTTCCACCAGTTACTGTCTTGTTTGCACTCGCAGTGGAACTGTGTAAGTGCTGCTTTTCCAGTATTTTAGGATTTCAATTCAGTAGTGTTTTATTGTCTCTTTACATGACTTTTCCCTGAAGTTCTTTGCTTAAAGTACAAGAGCTTTAATGCAGTAGAAACCACAAGATGCCCTTGACTTAAAATGTCAGGCACAGTGAAATCAGTGACTTAAATGCGACTGTTACATGCACAGCAGGGTAAATCAGGTCTGTGAAATGTTTGGGATACATAAATCCAGAGGTCATCGTGTTCAGCTGGCTCAGTCTTCTTGACATACAGGGAAATATACATGCACACAGACACTATGGAGAGATACACTATAATGTTGCCGTCAGGAGTATAATTCAAATTCACAGAATGATCAACACCACTGAGGAAGTTAGCAGAGGCTTCTGCATGCAGTTTATTGCAACATGATTTCTCCAGTGACAGTTAAAGGTTGGCGTCTCTGGATCTTGCATATTGATTTGCACGTTCATTCCAACACACAGTCGAGCAGAATAGTTTCCCCCAATGATCCGAGCACGAGTATCAACCTCCTCCTGCTGAGTGTATCTACATGCGATGCCACTTCATATACACAAGTTAAAAGAGTATTTTGGAAGATTAGATCTGAAGTGCACATGCCTTAAAAGTCTTATTCTCTTATTCCCAAACTGAGAAAAATTTGTCCAAGCTCCTGTATCTGGAACATGACATTTCCATTTCCAAAAAATTAAATCTGGTAAATTCAAAAGAATATTACACAGTATATAAGCATGTAAACCCACTCGCCGTAGGGTTCGGTTGATTAGAGGCTGTGATTCTTCTGGGAGAATGTGTCAAGTCAACCTTTGAATTAATTTTAATCGCAACCTGCAGGAAACTAACAGCTTTCTGACAGCACATATCCTGAGAGAAACAGGTTGGGTGATGATGTCGAGGTGTCTGTGTGAGTGTTTGAGTGTGCATTTTTGGTTTACACCCTACGAAGTGAACATTTGGCTGGACTGTTGTGTGACACGAATGAAGGTGGTTCTCCTGCTCAGCTCTTTGAGCTTGGCGGCACCCACGTAGGTGCAGGTGGAGCGGAGGCCCCCCAGCACGTCGCGGATGGTGTTCTCAACATCTCCTCGATAGGGAACCTCCACCGTCCTCCCCTCAGACGCCCTGAGAGCAGAGCAGAGGGAGGAGAAAGTAGGGAAATGATTCTTATTCAACAGTTTTATCAGGGAGAATAAGAATCCTTAAAAGCATACTGATGGAACCAGATTTATGAACTGATTTCCTGCAATCAGCCTCTCACCTGTACTCGGCAACTCCACCCACATATTTTTTCATGGCGGTGTCGGAGCTCATGCCGTAGAAGAGTTTATATTTCTTGCCGTTCTTCTCGATGACCTCTCCAGTGCACTGGTCGTGGCCTGCAAGCATTCCTCCCATCATTACAAAGTCAGCCCCTGCACCTGAGGAGCAAAGGCAGAGAAGTCGTGGTGGTTAGATTTGTAGAACAGTACAGCACATATATGTCATATGTGTGTCCCAATATGTGGGTTGAATACTTACCAAAGGCCTTAGCTACATCTCCTGGGCAACTGCAGCCACCATCCTGGACAGAGAATAAATACATGTCAGTCATATGGCTTCATACTGAATCACAGGCCAAAAAGTTTTTCATATTATTCTACCTGCCTTGGTAGACTGAGGGTGCCCTGTAGTGGCTACACAGCTAGAAACTATTAGAGGCTTTATGCAACAGCATATGGTGGACTCATGTTAAATTATTTTAAAATTGACATTACAGTACGCTTCAGCAAATAAACCTCTTTGAATCACTAATTATCCACAGTTATTATTACTCAGGCTATCACGTTGATCTAGACTATGGATTAGGTGAGGCTCCTTGTCAGGACCTTATCAGATGCAGACAACAGCTATTGTGAATTCCTGTTGTTTATTAAAACATATTTTATACTCAAACATATTTTGCTGCAGTGCTGTAACCTCTGAAGGACGGCCTTTTGTCTGACTTCATCATAGTTAATTAAATTTTTTTGGACTGATGCCCACCAAACCCTATGTGACTTCCAATCCACACAGAGGAAGATAGTTTGGAGAAGTGCAGTATTCTTGATATTACTACATAATACTAACTTCAGCAACTCTGGCTGTCCCTTGTTATTATATTTCCGTGCTGTGATGTGGGACTTACAGAGATAATGTGTCCTTTGAGTCCATGAGCTGAGTCTGCACACTCTATTACAGCACTGAGCTGTGGGTAGCCCACTCCTGTCTTGATCCTTGTCGTGCACACAGACCCTGCAACACAAAGTCCACAGTGCACACATTAGAGAAGTCCATCTTCATGTAACCATCCCTGGTGCTGCTGTAGCTACAGGAAGTTGTTGTATTTCAGATCTGGCGCTCTCAGTTCAGGGGCTTGTCTACAGGCTGGAGACAGAAAACAGCACCAGACGATCGAAGAGACTGTCTAACTCATTTGGAACAAGCTATTTAAAGGGAAAATTTGCCACCTTTTATGCAGATGACACATCAGTGTTGATGGTAAATGTAGCTGATTGAAGAAATAAATTCCTCAGTGCATACTACACTATACTTACAGAGAAGGCTGAGTTCACAGCTGCAAAATCTGTCATTCTTCCTGCGTCCAGTGCTGGCATTTGACTTGACGGTGACGCAGTTAGATGCAAGATAGAACTACAGGTTGGATTTTACATCGTTCTCTAGATGCCACTCAAAAACAGAACTTCCTTGTTCTCACCCCTCTCCACTTTTTGTTATATGCTGTTGCCGATGCCAACCCCAACAAAGCCCATGTATGTGTTACTAGTGATAGTAAAAACATGAAAGTTTTACTCCTCACTTGGACAGAGGTGTGCTGAATGAGACCTTCTTCAGGATCATGATGATCAACTGGAAAAGATAACCAAGACCAGCGGGGCAGAGAGGGCAGATGATGATTGAATGAGTATTTTGGCCATGTAATGCTATGTTCTGGTCATCAAAAAATAATGATAGGTATCAGAGGCTTGTATGCAGTGCATCATGGTACGTTTAGGTACTGCCTGCATAGCTCCACAAGCAGAGGACTCTTTCCCTGTCAGTATAGCAGACAGAAATGAATTGCATTGACTATTTACCTTTACAAGCCCTTAGGAGATCTGGCAAACCTTGGCAATATCAAATAATTGACACTAGAGCTCTTTCTTCTTTTAAAGTTGGAATTTTATGATGGTTTCTAAAAAAGGTTCTGGTGCATCAACAAAGGGTAATCTACTGGTAATAAAACCATGTTGTACTTGTACTCTATTTACAGCAACCTCTGAGTTGTAACTCAAATCCTGCAAGTGGACCATGCAGCACTGTGCTATAAAGTAAAAACGACTCCAAGTCAAACCTTGCTGTTAAAGGCTAGCGTGTTTGCCTGTCTCCTGTCTCAGTGGTGTCTGTGTTTGTGTGCAAGGCCGGGACAGTTTTGTGTTGATTTAGAGGAAGCACACTTCTCAGACTATTTCGAGACACACTCAGACAGTCGTACCCACCCACCTGGTCCAATGCCCACTTTGATGATGTCAGCACCGGAGAGGATGAGCTCCTCCACCATCTCCCCTGTTACCACGTTACCAGCCTGCAAAGCAGACATTATTAGCCCCAAGATACAATCTTCCAGCCAAAGTGGTGAACCATCTCTCTTACCATGATGGTGTGCTTGGGAAACTTTTCTCTGACCGTCTTGACAAACTCCACAAAGTACTCAGAGTAGCCGTTGGCCACGTCCAGACAGATGTACTTGAGGGCGGGGACGGCTTCCAAGATGGCACACAGCTTCTCCAGATCTGCGGTGCCACTGCCTGAGCTGGCGGCTACATGCTGGAGAGAGAAACCACAATTACCTTTTAGAAGGAGACCTTTGTAAATAGAATGTGTAATTATGTTCCTGTTTCTAATGAGGAACAAGCTACTTAAAGGAGCTGCAACACTTAGACCACTATTTTCTATTTAAAGATATAGTGGAGTAATCGTATCCTGAGCAGAGAATTAAGTCATGCTACCTCTGTGTGAGTTGTGATCTGAGCTATTCTGTTCGTTGTCATGGTAGATCATCTGGTGCCACGTTCATACTAGTGCATGTGAGTCCCTGTGTGTGTATCTAAGCATAGTGCTCTGTTTCCCTCTCAGGTTAACGATGTTAGCTCTGTCAGCACTGTTTATGGAGTTAGCACCATTAGCTGCTAGCCACTGACTCAGCCACCTCCATGTTGAGAATCATGTGCAGACGATCTCGCCTCAGACTCTGGGGTGAGATACAGCTTCTTTAAAAAAGGTGTAAACATTGGGGAAATTACCTCTAAGCATTCAGGATGATTAGCAGCAAAGTTTTTCCAGTCCTCTACAGAGTAGTGTTTATGGATGGCTGTGAAGAGGGTGTGCTAAAGACAAAGAAAGAAAGGGAGACAACAAGATGTAAAATAAAGAAATGATTTAACAAACATAAACATTCATATTCCCATTTTTGTCTTCATTTGCAATGTACACCGATCAGCCAAAACATAAAACCACTGACAGGTGAAGTGAACAACACTGATCATCTTGTTACAGAGCAATGTTCTGTTGGGAAACTTTGGGCTCTGACATTCATGTGGATGCCACCTGGCACGCTCCACCCACCTAAACACCAGTGCAGACCAGGTACCCATCCTCATGGCAACAGCACTCCTCAGTAACAATGGCCCCCCAGCAGGACAATACGCCATGCCACACCACAAAAATGCCTCAGGCATGGTCTGAGGAACGAGACAAAGAGCTCAAGGCATCAACCTGGCCTCCAAATTCCTTGGATCCCGATCTGATCAAACATTGGTAAGATGTGTTGGTACCCCACCCCACAACCCACGGGACTCAAAAGATCTGAAAGTAACGCCCTGGTGCCAGACACCAAAGGACACCCTCCAGAGGTCCTGTGTCCATGCCTTGACAGGTCAGAGCCAAGTCTGGTCCAAGGACCCACCATGGATCGGAGGTACCTGTGGGGTACCAGCACATTCCTCAGATGTTCAATCAGATTGGGATCTGGGGTATTTGGAGGCCAAGTTAATGCCTTGAGCTCTTGTCCCATTCCTGGGGCCATTCCATTTTTGTAGCGTGGCAGGGTGCATCATTGTCCTGCTGGGGGGCCACTGCCATCAACCAGTGCCATCGCCATGAGGGGGTTTACTTGGTCTGCAACGGTGTTCGGCTGGGTGGAACATGTCAAGTAGCATCCACATGAATGCCAGGATCCAAGGTTTCCCAGCAGAACAATGCACTGTAACAAGATGATCAGTGTTATTCACTTCACCCACCAGTGGTTTTAATGTTTTGGCTGATCGGTGTAAGATCTCTACTTTTGATTAAAATGTGAGAAATTGCTTGTCTCAGGCCATTTATATGCAAGAAAACAGTATATTGTCAGGCTGAGTAGTCAGTTCATAACTTATGATTCAAAGATTACAGACATTTTGATTTAGCTGTTACAAAAGAAAACGAGCAACATCCCACAAGTTAGCAGATGTCTAACTGCTTCTAGGACAAGGCTGCTAATTCACATTTTTCCCCTGGCTCCCCACAGCATCCTGGTTTTTGTTTCCTGATTCTGTGTCAACTATTTGCAAATAAATCTCAGTGGAAGACAGAGATCTTGGCAGGCCCACACAGAGATGGTGATGCTGTTATTTATTTTTCATCCATTCAGTTGTGTAAACTCACTTTGCTGAGGACCTGCGCCATCTCAAACGTCCCTGTGGTGTCCATGTTGGCAGCGATAATGGGGATGCCAGTGTAGGTCTGTTTGGAGTTGCGGAATGTGAAGGTCCTCTGAAGGTCCACCTGAGCGGGGAGAGACACGTGTAATTCCATAGACTTGTTTCATTAACATTAATCATAGCCTACTGGGAAAGTGTTTTATGTGACTTATTTTTTCTCTAAAGCTGACTGAGGACCACAGCTTGAAAATGGGAGCATCTCCTGTGGTTCATGTTCCGAGTCTTAATGGGGATGCACTGAATCATTTAGATCCAGGGGTTAGCTTAGCCAGTGCCTCTGTAATGTGATAAGCTACATGAAACAAGCAGGGCCCATTGTGACACACAAGCTGCTCCCTTTACAGGAAAGTATATCTGTGCTGATGATGCACATCATAGCTATGATTCCTTTCGAAAAGATCTGCTATAAATAAATCTTATTCCAATGAGTTAACATGACTTTGCAGCTGAACTGTTCGCTGCTCAGTATCAGTGGAGTTTATACACGCAATTTCCTTTTCAAGTGAGTCACAAAGAAGAAGTAACACATTTTTCTTCTTACAAATGAAAAGTTTAATTCTTAAGTAATGACACACACCTTTGCTCAGTTTAATCTGTTCAGGAGTTCTGCTGCTGCTCGGCCTGGTATTACCACCAGCTTATGGTGGCTAATGTTAGTTAGCTGACGAGTGTTGAAGATGTCAGCCATAGAAATGTCTGCCTTTTCTCCAGTATAATGAACCGAGATGGCACTGAACTTGTGGTGCTTTAAGTGCCAAAAAATACATTTGAAAAACTCAACAGCAATGTCTCTTTCCAGAAATCATGGCCCGGTTGCTCAAAATAATCCACAGACCTTGTTGTGAGCAGTTTCATGTAGGAACTGTTTTCATTCTCCCAAACTACACCCAACTGTGTCAGCGTGCAGAAGGAAATGTGCATCTACTGCTAGCCCACCTAGCACCACTGAGCTAACTAATGTTACAGCTCAGCTAGAGATGCAGCGATCCAGCTTTTTCAGTTTCGATACCGATCCCGATGCTGTGGCTTTGAGTATTAGCTGATACCCGATACTGATCCGATACCATGGTTGACCTAAAAAGCTATATACCTTTACATGTAGAACAGAAAAGACTAGAGGCATCAGGCATTGATGACTACACAGTTATTTCCTAAGATAAAATGAAACAAGATGAAACACATTAATGCAACGATGAACTATTTATTTTTAAAAAAAATAAACAATTGTGCAACAGCAGTTGAAATAGTGTGAAATACCTCCACACAGCAGAGTCTCTCCTTTGCTCCATGACGTATGACGTAGCTCACGTCGCAATAGATTTAAAGGGAAAGGATCGCCTCAGGTATAGGTTGTATTTCCCGATACCCGATCCATCTATTTTGATGATATCAGGGCCGATATTCGATCTAGATATTGGATCGGTGCATCCCTAAGCTCAGCTAAGGAGGACACCATTAATGTTTACGTCTCGCACTGGTACGAGCACGAGCCTCTCATCCATGAGTAGATGTGCACTTCCCTCTGTGTGGTGATATGGCAGGCATGGTTTAGTACAGAGAAAATAATTCCTAAAAGAAACTGTTAACAACAACGTCTGTAGATTATCTTGAGTAACTGGGTCATGTTTACTTGAAAAAAAAAAAAAAAAAAGACATTGCTGTTCCGCCTTTTTTTTTGGCACTTTGAGCAACACAAGCCGAGTGCCATCTACTTCCATCATATAATTGAGAGAAGGCATCTCTACAGCTGATATCTCCAACACTTGGCAACTCCCACCAAAACAATCTAGACTGAAAAATAGCACTGCAAGTAATAGGAAAAATATGTGTTTTTGATTTTGACGTAGACTGTCCCTTTAAGTCTCACAGTTTCATAGTGCTGGATGCAGTTGTTCAGCAGAGCCAAGACATTTATTAAGCAAAACTACTTCAGTCGTGGAAATAGGCTAACAGCACAAAGTGTGCCATAACCTTCACGGTGGAATAACTTTCAGAGCCACAGCAAAAATGAGGCTATAACTCATAATGGCGGGAGGAAGAGGAAAGCAGTGAAAGGAGTATGGATGAGAAGGGAGGAGCGTCCGGTTGTGCATATGCATTGTCGTGCTGGAGCAAATCAATACAGGCCTCTTTTTTTATACCCAGAACACTGACTCAGCAGGATTTTCCAGTCTAACAGTAAATTATGACAAAGTATGACAAACACATGGATCAAATTACCCCGGTTATAAAGCATCCGTGGAATTTATGCTATGACACTTTTGTTAGCTGTGGATATATATGATTTTTACTGGTGATAAACTCTGTATAATATTTGTAATTCCACCTTAATGTGATCAAAGTTTTTGAAACACACCAATGAATTATTTTCAATAGAGAGCTTCTGGGCTAAGAAGATTTGAAGGACCTTACATTGTCTGTCATCTTCTATTTGTTGGCATGTTGCAGGTGTTTTTGTTAGCTCCAATGCTGCAGTGAAAACTCACATCAGCATCTGTAAAACACTTGAAAAAGTCCAGATTGAAGGGACAGGTGTATTTGTGCATCAGTGCTCGATTACCGACCATCTTTAACGTGGTCTCTTGTTATTGATGCCGTTTATTATCCATGATGTTCATATACCATCCTTTCCTCCAAACAATGATGCATGTCTGGGATGCTTAGCTTTGACAGACGGATCTCTGCTCCTGTTAATGCAGCAATTATTTAAACAAAAGCAGTCCGAGTGCACGCGCCATTAGATTTGGATGGAGTTTATTGGAATGCTGCAGTGAAGTCATCTTGTGTAGACTATTGACATCTTAAATCATAGTTTTTTATTTCATTAGTTACAGGTAGGATAAGATGGAATGTCAGGAATGAGGTGATAAAATATAGAATTGTCTTTTACCACACTCAGCACACATGCTCTAGATCTGGCTATTCTCTGTGCTGTTATCTGCATCAGTGTTTCTTATGTTATCATGATATCTCTGTGGCATATGGAATGTGCTCTGGCTGACTCTGACACACAGTACTATTTTTAAACAACATTTCTGAGAACTCTCCTGTGCCTCATGTTGCTTGGCAGGTCTCAGTAGCCAACACTTAGCCAATTCCACCGTCCACCTTGGATCCAGTACCACCACACCAGTAGTGTGATCTTGGATCGGTACCAGTCCCTGATCTGGTGACAGACAGCTAAGTTGAGGAAGTTGTGAGGATAAAACAACAAGGAGAGGGTTGTGTCGTCCCAGAGAGCCAAATCATTGGGTGCTAGACACACTGTGGCCTGTTACGCCAGCATAAAATGACAGTGACAAAAGCAAGTCTATTCTGATCAGAACCTTTTTGTATGTATATCTGTCACTCTTCTTTTTCTTTTGTTGTTCTCTCTACTTGTAGATGTTAGTGTTTAAAGCCTCTGTCTGGAGCAGGCTGGCCTTGTTTTCTGTCACCTTTAAGAAGGTCATCCCGCTGTTACATGCTCATTCAGGGTAGCTGTTTTGCTCACTGAAGTACAAAGGCAGTGTACACCTCCCAGCTCACACAAAGCAAGACACCAAGGAGACACACGCGTATAGAATTACAGTGAGCATGCACTTTTCAGCTTTAGTGAGACATCCTTCCCCAGCAAACAGGGTTAATAGGCCCCAAAAGGCAGCCCCCCTCCTACCAGCCATCCCCATGTATAAATAGTTAACTAACCCTATTGCGTCACTCGCCATAGAGGCGTAAACGTAAGTGTACTTCCTGAATATGGCGGTAAACTGATTACTCCTCCTGAGAAGTACCCCGGTCCCTTGGTTGACTGAACTGTAGCTGTAATATTTGGATTACAGAGTACCACTAATTAACAGCACTGACCTCTGAGCGACTCTTCAAACTGCTCCTCTTGGGTCTGAAGAGCACATCCTTGAAGTCCAGCTTGAGGTCTGAGTCCACGCGAGGCATCTTGTCTGCCCGGAACACTGATGACCAGGAAGAGGTTGATGAGGATGATGAGAGTACAGAGGAGGCTCTCTTGAGGAAGGCTGCAGCAGCAGTGGTGGTCGCCGGTCCCAAGCCCCAACCACCAAACCCGAACCTCCAGGCGGCCAGCGTATTTATAGCAAAGGGGGGCCCAGCCCAGCCCCGGCCCCCATGGCTTTATTTGGGCCTGGAGTCTCTCTCACCTTCTTCCTCTCTCTGTCTCTCTTTCTCCCCCTTCACTCCTCCAGCGTCCTCTCTCTCCCCCCTCTCCTTCAGCAGAGTGGCAGGAGCAGCAGTGGCCAGGCTGGCAGGCACGCCTGACGCATATACACGCACACACACTCTTACACACACAGCCATGGTAGCACTGCAGTGGGTTGTGTGCTGCAGTGCTAAAGAGCACACCTGCTGTCCAGTTGCAGCATTGCTCTCGAAGCTAATGGCAGACAGCACAGAGAGAGGGGGACGGACGGGGGGAGAATGACAGCATAGAAAAAAGTGAGAGGGAGACATGGAGATGCAGTCAGAAGGGAACATAATGTTTTGTTGTTTCTTTGCAGCATAAGCTAATGGCACACAAAGACAAACAAAGTTTAACCCTTGCACTGACAACTCTGAGCCCTCCTGTTGGATAGAGTGTAAACACTAGACTTTATCCTTTGGTCTATTATTGTAATCTTTGTTGTATCTGTACTCAGAAAGATGTTTTGCTCATTGTTATTTCACTTTGATGATTTTTTATCCAGTATTAAACCACTCTTTCATGTTACACTTTTTTAGATATTGGTCATTTTTAACCACATCGCTTAATTGATTGAGGATTTTATCTGATTATCTGATTGATTTTAAGTTGCTGGAAGAGCGAGAACACATGTCTGATCCGCTGCTGTCTACTGTCAAGCATAAGGTGACTAGAACGCCATTATTTTCACTAATCATGGGGATTACTTTTATCTTGTTTTTATTTTTCCATATTATCGATTGTGTTATTTTATATTAAGAGCAGAATTGATTTTAAATTCTGCACAGAAAATTCTGTTAATCACCTGTAAGGCACTCTACGGGCTGGCCTGCCTTTATATTTCTGAATTATTGTGTCCCCTAGCAACGGTGAGATCAGTGAGATCTTCTGACCAAGGCTTCCTGGCTATCCCAAAATTATGGCTGGAAACAAAAGGGGATCGCACTTTTGCAGTAGTGGCTCCCACACTCTGGAACCGTCTTGCCCTAGTCATAAAAAGGACAGCCTTTATGTAAGCACTTTGTCCTGTATTGGGTGTTTTTTTTTTCTTTTTTTTACAGATTTTATTGTTTTTGCCCTCTGTGTACTTTTTATTGTTTGCACTGTACAGTGTCTTGTAACTCTGGTTTCGAAAGCTGCTTCATAAATAAAGTTTACTTACCTACTTACTACACTGTGCTTTGTACAGAGTTTGAAACTGGAAAACCGTTTTCTCACTCATCTGCTTACGGCGGAAAGTTTCTCATGCTCACCTTGTATCTTAGTTTAAGGGTTAGCCCATACAAGCTTGACATCATGCACCAAGCCTGGTCCAATATGTAACCTATACAGTGGCATATGCAGAAATCCTCCAGTATTCATACACTGTGAATGGACTTTTCAGTGGAGGAGGAGACATCTTGTGTCCAGCTGTTTTAAAATTAACAATATTTTACATATAGATTTTAGATTTTCAGTGAGGGAGGGAAAGCAGATATGATTTTAAGAATTTTTACCTAGTTAAACTATTTTGTGTAAACACCACACCATACAATTATTATTATTTAAAGGAGAGCATGTCCTGTGCCGTGTCTTATGGCAGGTCTGAATGGATCTTTATTTAGTATTAAACACGAAGTCTTACAAAGCACTATTATTGATAACACATTGGATTACAGTTATAACATGTTAAAACCAAACGACAAGTGAGTGATACCTAAGGTGGGCGAACTGTGTCTGTTAATGACAGGCACAGCCACAAAGTCATACACAAGTTGAGTAGGCTGGTAAGGCAAATGACAGCTGAGACCGTCTTCAGAGGCCCACAGTATCCATCACAATACTCTGTCCCCTGGACCTAATGTTCCTAAGTAAAGGCACAGGTGTAGTAGAGAGTAGTTATTTTAAGAACATCAGAACTATAAAGGAACAGTGCAGTTTGCCTGTTTGTTGGTAATAAGGTCATTCTGCAATAAAATCACAAGGGATGCATGATATTGGATTTTTTGCTGATGTCCGATATGCGGATATGTAACAACTCATTTGACCAATAATCGATATCAATGTTGATATATCCACTTTTCTCCCTACCTAATGTTAGTGATCATCAAGTCTCTTCTGTAGTGGAATTAACATCATATAATGCATGCATACTCTCATAGTGATGGCCCACCAGCAGATGGAGACATGGAATACAATACTTTTAAATATATGTAATATTTATTCATTGTGCAAATTAAGAAAAAGCATGTTGATTGATAATGATAGTTTATTTAAAGCCAATATCCATAGATACCAATAAAGTGCCAATATTATTGTGCATCCCTAAAGACTTTTATTAATCTTCCCTTAAATTTCCAAATTTTTGCTCAGTTTTATGGTCATACTGTAACCTGTAAAGGTAATAGAACAGGTAGGCTACCCCACAGTTAAATAATAACTACAATATAAGTTCTTTGTAAGGTCCCAAATACCCCCTTATTCCATAACTTCATGTTGTACCTGCATGTATTGGTGCATACTGTACTGGTGCAAAAGATTACACTGTAACTATGGAGTATTAATGCTGTATGTTATAGGCTGTGAACTAAAGTGTTATCCAATGTACTACCATTTTATATTTGCAACACCTGAATGGTCTTAAAAGCAAATTTAAAACTTAAAAAATACTTAAATACAGAACTGTCTGTAAAAATACAGACTGCAAATCACAGTGTAGTCCTCAAAAGTCATTATAAAGACAACCCTATACTTCAGCAGGAGAGCTGAGTAATCATATCCCAGAAAAATCCACTAACCTATCAGAGGTTATCAGCAACATTAAGTCAGTGATTTCAAATTATTTAGTCATTATTTTCATTTAAAGTAATTCCAAGATAAGTACATCTATTTGACATTATGTGTTATCTTCAGCAGCAGATTAAAGAAAACCCCCTCATATTACTGGACATGTGTGTCAGTTTCCCAGCATTTATAACTGTTAGTCCAAACACAGACCAGTAGATGTCAGCACAGCTGAAGAGATCAGCTGCCTAACAAAGAGCAGAATGAGCACCAGGGTCAAAACTCTTGTTAAAGTGTGTCCTGGCAACCAGCAGTGCCTTTGTGATATATTTATGCGTCTCTTTGTCACTGCCTTTACAGCACTGTTATATTGTCTCTAACTAGGGTTTCTTTGTATGCGGTCCATGCAGGAAGCAGTTATTTCTGAAAGCATGAAAACTGTAAAACTGAACTTTTTCCACTAACATGTTCTCACTTCCTGCACGGCATGCTGGCAACAAAGACTTAAAGTGAATGGGGTTTATTCATCAGGGCATTTCAGGGTGAGGTCTGCATTTCCATCTAAATGAAGGAATCAAGTGAAGTAGACGTAATTTGATTTAATTGAATTGGTAACAAATTGACTGAACTGAAAAGATGTCTTTGGTGGAGGTAAATAACTGCTTTAAAAGTACAGTTTAACAATAATGCATTTTATTGAAAGTTAAAGGACTGTATAATACCAACTATTAATTTAAACAATACTGTAGTCATGATTGGCTCATCCACAGATCCACAAACAGGCCTCATTAATACATAACTGATGACATAAAAATAATTCACAGCCATGAGGTAATAAAGCAGCAGCTGTAAACCCACTGCTCTTTAACCCCTTGTGCACGTCACACTGAACTGCATTGATAAGAAGGCACTGAATAAGGTCAGCCTTTGAAACCCTTAAAGGCAGGCGCACTGATAAGAAAAGAACGTTGTGGACTCATTTCTGTGTTCTTCACGTATCCTGAGTCAGCTGATGAGTCACAGGTGTTTGTGTGAGTTACAGGCTGAAGTAGGTGAAAGTTCAACAAGTAGTTATCTGTGTACATGCATGCTGGCTTTACAGCCTGTATAGTATGGGTTACTCTCTCTGTTTGAACTAGGACACAGTACCCGTAATCTTTAACTTACTGTCTATTATCTGCCTCATATAAAAGTCTGGTTCCCACATGTTGTGTTATTAAAACACTGGTTGTTACTTTTGTGGTCATATGACATCTCAGAGTGTCTCTTGGGACAACAAAGTCAGTCAGTCACTCCATTCTTTTGGTCTAGACTGAAATATATCAGCAACTATCAGAGGGATTGGCATAACATTTTGTACGGATATTAATGGTTCCCAGATGATAAATCAACCCAGACTTTGTTGAGCCCCTGACTTTTCTTGTAGCACCTCTATCATATTTACATTTGTGATTTTGAGTGAAATGTCTGAACAACTAGGATGAATATCGGGACAGACATTTATGTCACCCTCCGAGTAAAGTGTTGTAACTTTGTTGATCCTTTAATTGTTCCTATAGCCCGATCATCAGGTCCAAATTTTGACATTCCCATCTCTTGTACTTTGTGTTTAGTGACTTTACCACTGTTAGCATGCAACCACGCTACAATAAGACAGTGATGAACATGGTAAACATTAGAGCTGCCAAACAGCATGTTAGCATTGCCAGTGGGAGCATGTTACCAGGCTAGTGTTAGCATTTAGATCAAAGCACTGTAAGAAGAGTCCCACGGAGCTGCTAGTATGGCTGTGCACTCTTAGTCTTAATCATTCATATGCACATATTTTGACAGTATTTACTTGACAGTCACCATATTCACTATGCAGATTTATAGCATAAAAATTTGTTTCTAGAATTGCTGATGTTCATTTCTTCCTTGTTTGTTTTGTTTTGCTGGCTTTTATTTGCTCAGGTGTGCACTTGGACACAGAAAATACCAAAAATAATATTTACAAGAATTCGTCACCCACAAACATTTGTTTAACAGTTCCTCACCCCATGTTAGTTTGAATTCCTGAAGAAAACTTTGTTTTTCTCACATGCCTCAGATGAATGGAGAATCCAAAGAAAAAGAAAATGAGAAAATTCTTGATGAATTGGAGTAAAAGGGGGCCGGATTTAACATTAGCAAAACTACACCAAATCATCTGTATAGAAAATGTCACACAACTCGTGCAGTATAATCCAAGTCCCATTATCCAGCATGC